CTGTGGTTTTGTCACTGACTCCTGTCCCACCACCGGTAACCAAGGCACCTATGGCGGTTAAGGTTGTGTGTCAACTTGGCTGGGCCTGGTTGAGTGGCTGGGCAGCTGAATGTAGTTATCCCCCATGGTGAGATTGGCAATCAGTCCCATGGTGGAATCTACTGGAGCAGCTGAGTAGCTGCTTTAGGGATGTGGTCTGCTTGCAGTCTATAAGGAGAAGCTTTGAGGAAGGTCTCTAACTTTTTGACATGCTTGAACCCTGCAGGTAGCCAAGTCTTCATTCAGCAGCCTGCCATGCTCTGCTGACGTTGGGACTTTTAATGGACTTGAATCAGTGGCCTGCCATGTGGTTTGGCAATATCGGGACTGTGCCTTTTCACTTGTCGACCTTGGGTTTGTCAGCCTCAGCAGCCAGTAGCTGCCTGAGTGAAGAGATGCCTCTGGCTTCAGTGGGCCGGGAGCAAGAGGCAGAGCTGAAGCCCAAGGTCAAGGGGCTTTCAGCCAGCCCCTAGAGCCTGGCACTTTGAATTCGGACTTCTAGCCTCCCAAATTGTAAGAGAATAAACTACTGTTTGTTCAGGCCATCCCATTTGTGGTATATATTCCTATCAGAGAGGCACTAGGTAACCAAAACAGCACCCCTCTCAGTTCAAGTCAGTCCCTGGCTTTTGCATCAAAAAAAAAACCCAAACCCACTGTCACCGAGTTGATTCCGACTCATAACAACCCCCATTGGGGTTCTAAGGCAATACATCGTTACGGAAGGAGACTGCCCCATCTTCCTTCTGTTGAACAGCTGGTAGGTTTGAACTGCCAATCTTCTTGTTAGCTGTCAAATGGCTTAGGCACTGTGCACGAAGGAAGGAAAGCCCCATCCTGTTATATTGCCTAGCTCCGAGTGCTACTGGGTCTTGTCTGACAGAGGAACTGGGTCTGGAATCTTCACCAAGTTACCTCATAGTCTTTATCATACTAACTGTGCTTGTAAGGGTTTGCCTTCACTTGTAGCCTAGGATGGCATGCAGATTCTCTTTAGATGCCCACATTCGTAGGTGTGAATACTCTAAGAAGTGGGGTCAGTCATTCTGTCTTTACCATAGTTGAGAGGGAGGCCCAGGCCTCCTGCAGGACAGTGAAGGCCTTCTCTCGCTCTGTAAGCCGGCAGGAAGGCCCCTGTTTCATGGGCCCATGCCTACATCACTGGTCTCCAGCTGCTTGGCCAGGCCCCCTCCCACCCCTACTGCACCAGCTGAGCTGGACCCCTCATTGATCTCCACACACATCTTCTGGAGGGACAGAGGCACGGGCCCTCCTTTGTGACACAAGGACAACGTAGGCCCCGCCCTGAAGGGCTGTTGTGAGGAAGATGGAGAAGGAACAAAGTCACCCTGTTGCGTCTTCACCACCCACAGACGGGCCTGTCACCGCATCTGCACCAGCCCCAGGAGTGCCCCCCAACTTCTGCTTCTCACGGTGCCGCTGACCACGTCTGTCTCCCCTGACCAAAGCCTCGGCTGTGACCCTCACGTTGGCAAGTTTGCCGAACTCTCCATGGACTGTGCCCGCTTCTTTTCATCCCTGGAACCCCCAAACTCAGCAGGCCCCACCAGAGGACTGAGTGAGCAGGGGCGTGGCCTGCAGCCCCTCAGGAGAGCACCTCGCAGGAGTGGGGCGCCACTGCTCCTTATCGCTCTGTGGCGGGGTCTTGTCGCAGGCCTGCTGTCGCTTTGACAAGCCCTCCTCCCATGTCTGCTTCCCACCCCGTGACCTCACACTCCAAACACCATGGGCTGTGGAAGGCAAGGACCCTCCCCCCAATTGTGAATATTTGGAAACGGGAGCCTGGAAATGTGACGGTGTGGCTTGCTGGAGGGACAGTGAGGGCAGTGGACTGGGGCTGGCTGTCAGGAGTCAGAGACCAGTTTCCTGAGCAGCTCCTCTGTCCTCTGGTGCCCTGTCTGTGGGAGGGACAGGAGGCCAACAGACCCTGTGCTCATGGGTTTCCGTCTCGACTGGAGGAGAGGGAGCTCATTGCCCAGCAGCTATTGCATGGCATAGACTGAAGTGGTGTGTTCACTCAGTTTACTCAACTCTGGATGCCGGTCCCCCCCCCCCCCGATGGGCCTGGCTGTGTCTTCCCCTCCTCTGATGGGCTGGTCCGTGTCCCCCACTCCTCTGACGGGCCTGGTCATGTCCTCCTAACTCTTCTGATGGGCCTGGCTGTGTCCCTCCTCCTCTGATAGGCCTGGCCATGACCTGTTTCCCCAGAACAGCCAGGGGTTTATACTGACAGGTGTCTGGGCACAGGTGTGGGGTGGGGAAGGAGCCCTTTGTGGGGAAGGAAAGAAATCTCCTTATGTGCTTAACAGGGTCCTGAAGATGGGGAGGCTGTGTCTGGTACAGTCACAGGTCTGGGGCCATTCTAAGTTTGCAAATAATGCATCTTTCAGGTTCACCTGAGGCTGGTGGTGCAGGCTGTTTGTGATCAGCTACTAACCTAAAGGTTGGTGGTTCAAACCTACCAAGCAGCTCTACAGAAGAAAGGTCTAGAGAATTGCTCCTGAGAGATTACAGCCAAGAAAACCCTATGACACGGTTCTACTCTGTAACACATGTTCACCATGGGTTGGAATTGATTAGATGGTAATGGGTTTGTTTTTTGGCAAAGTTCACCCATAGGTGTATGGCTATGATGCCTTGGAGTGACCCTGCAATGAGCCTGTGGTGGGCCTAGGGTGGGGTGACCACCATGGTGGGCCTGGGGTGGGTTTATCCTAGGCCTGTGCTGGGTGTGGGCTGACCCCATGGTGGGCTTGTGCTAGGCCTGAGCTGACCCCCATGGTGGGCCTGTGCTGGGTTTATCCTGGGCCTGTGTTGGGCCTGGGCTGACCCCATGGTGGGCCTGTGCTGAGCGCTTATCCTGGGCCTGTGTTGGGCCTGGGCTGACCCCATGCTAGACCTTTGCTGCTGGCCCTGTGCTAAGCCAGGGCTGGGCCCATGCGACCCAGGCTCCAGGCCTGACTGCTGCATTTTGGCCTGTGACTAGCTCTACAGTGGCCTCCCTGCCTCACCCACAGCTCCAACCTCTCATGCCCTCGGGATGAGGGCTCTGACAGTAGACACAGCAACAGCCCGGCCCAGCGGCCCAGCGGCCCAGGTTAGACAGAGCCTCCTTGCTTGTTCTGCACCATTTGGGGGCAGAGTACCTACCCCTCTGGGGACCTCAGAAACTTTCCTGACCCCTGCAGTAGCCCTGTGAGATGCAGTAGACAGGGAGCCCCATCCTATTCCACAGACTGGGAAACTGAGGCTCCACGGTCGCATAGCAAGAAAGGCAGCATAGCAAGAAAGGCAGCACAGCCAGATTTGAACAAGGTCCCTAGCCTTGTTTATCTCTGGGCCAGCCCTCGGCTGCTGCTCTGTGAGACCCACTTCCCTACAAACCCTGTGACCCCACTGCCCTGAACTCTGCTCCAGCCCAGCGCAGTTAATCTCATTCCCAGCCACCTGTTTGCTGGCCAAGAGAGGTGCTGCTGGCCGGCCAGCACTGAGCGATGGCCAGCCCCACTGCCGGCCCAGGCAGCACCAGGGCCACTCGAGCCCGCTTCACACGGCAGCTCCCCTAACGTTTGGGAGTGTAGTCAGGACACACACAGAGGAGCATGGTGCTGGTGGAGGAGACCACTGTCCTGTCCCTGGGCAGGTGCCTGGTGGCTGCTTCTGGGAACCTCCACCAAGGCTGAGGCTCAGAAGCAGGTCTGGGTCTGCCTCCAGGATACCTCCATACCAGCCACGTCCCGCTCACCTGCTGCCTTAGAGGAATGCCGCAAGGGTCCAGAGACTTGGGCTGTGGGAGCAAGTAACAGGCAAGAGAGATGATGAAGGTGTCACGGTTTTCGAGGTCCCTACAGTCTGTGGTACCCTGACCAATGCTTGTGTCGCTTGTCCCACACGACTGGACCAGCTGCTGCACAAAGCCTCTGGCCTCTGGCCCTGCCTCCCTCAGCCACCTCTTCCTTCTGTCTGCTCCTTCACTCCCACCAACCCTCCTCTACCTGCAAAGAAGCAAACCCATTGCCATCAAGCAATGACAGCGAGACTCCATCTCATGTACTTTGGTCATGTTATCAGGAGGGACTAGCCTCTAGAGAAGGACATTATGTTTGATAAAGTAGAAGCTGAGACCCTCAATGGGATGGACTGACCAAGTGGCAGCAACAATGGGCTCAAACATAGCAACAACTGGGGGGATGGCGCAGGTCAGGTAGTCTTCTGTTCTGTTGTCCATGGGCTCACTATGACTCAGAACTGACTTGATGGCACATAAGAATAACAACGTTGGTGGCAAGTCAATTTTGACTCTTAGTGACACCATAGGACAGAATAGAACTGCCCTATAGGATTCTAGGAGCTTTGGTAGTGTAGTGCCTAAGGCACTTGATTGCTAATCAGAAGGCTGGCGGTTCAAACCCACCAGCCATTCCTTAGAAGGAAGATGGGGCAATCTACTTCTGTAGTGATACTGCCTCAGAAACCCAAGGAGGAGTCGCTCTGAGTCGGGTCCGACTCGACGGCACATAACAACAACAACAAAGGATTCCAAGGCTGTAATGTTTATGGAAGCAGACCTCTACAGCTTTCTCCCATGGTGCAACTGGTGGGTTTGAAACACCAACCTTTTGGTTCGCAACTGAGTGCTTAACCGCTGTGCTACTAGGGCTCCTGACAGTCTGTGTTAAAATAGGCGGGTGCTTTGCTTCCATGTAACTTATGTCGTTTAAAACAAGACTTAAAAAGAAGCCACCACTTCCAGTAAGATGGAGGAATAGGCAGACAAGCAACACAGACCCTCTTCAAGAAATGAAAAACCAGTTGACAGAGATTCAGAAGATAATCCTGGAGCCCTGAGCTTTGAAA